TAAAAGCTTAAAGCCCGGGCGAGGAGACAGGTAGTATGCCCGCCTACACCCGGGGAGGGGACCCGCTTGCTTCTTAAGCATCAAGATTGAAGAAAAAATCTCTAAGTCCAAAGGAAAGCTCTCTTCGCAAAATAAGGAGATTGTCCCCAACAAATTTCGAATGGAGTTCGGGTGAAGCTGGCCGACCGTCACACCGAAGTGGTTCAAGACTTCGACAATGAGGGGATGAAAAGGCAATCGCAGCCCCGTGGCGAGCTGCTCCCGGAATATCACGATCTCATCAAGACCGTGTTCCCAAGGAAAGCTACCCGAAGGTATGAAATAGGCGTACTCCCTAGGCAAGTTATAGTAGGTAATGAGGGATTGAAGCCCCTCGGGCGTCATGGTCGAAGGACCAAACATGTCTAACATCCGACCCCGATGAGAGGTGGACGCCAAACTGCCCGAAGCGCCTCGGCCTACGAGTTTGAACTCTTCCTCGAGCTTTACCTCCGGCTCGCTAAGGTTGTCAGGGGATGCAACTCGGTTCGTAGAACCTGCATCGGACCCGCTGGAAGGACTATCTGAGCTATCCAAGCTAGACATCAGGGAGTGAGATGGGATCTAGGAAAGTACTCACCCGGAAAAAGGCTGTAGACCACAGGAGCTCGGACGAGCAGAAGACCTTGAACGTGAGCTGAAAAAACCTGGACGCGAACTAGATGCGAGCTGAAACTCGGACGCGACCTCAAGAGAAACACAGAAGTGACAGCGACTGGGGTCCCCCCCCCCCGCTATTTATACTCACAGTGATCGAAAATCAACGGCTTAGATCAAAGCCAATCCGACAACCCACAGCCGCACCGACCGCGCGTCCCTAGAGACCGAGACGTGATTGGCGCACGTCTTTTTGAAACTGACGAAACGCCAGCGCACGTCTCCTCAATAAAAGCGGCAACGGCACGTTTTTTCAAATTTGAAAAGACACTTGCTATCGCGCCTCACAAGTGGCGCGCTTTTTTGAAATTTTGAAATAAAGCGCGCGTCGTCACATCTATCAGCGCCTAGGCAGGCCGGCACGCTTCTCGCCTTTTGGACGCTCGAAGAAACCCAAGGAACCCTGACAACGCACTCGCGCCATCAGAACCAAGATCCAAAGGTCAGGGCAAATCTACCTAACACCTCGCGAACTCCCCGCGCCAGGGCAAGACCCTTAGCGCGAGGAGTGGGGGGCAATTGATGAAGGAAGATTTGGCCCAACCTCGCAATCACGCCACGTGGCAAAAAACAA